GATCTTTGTTTATAGCAAGATCATTGAACCTATTTTGAATAGGTAATAAACTCTCTAAAGTGAGAATTACGACTCGCTATTTTCTGCTTGGATAATACCAACTTCCCCTTTTTGGTGCTGAGAAGATGGAAACATTTCAAATTTTGTTTTTGATACCGTTTTCATAGATCATATTAAATATAGTTATATTTATAATTATAGATCACAAAGTATGTAAAGGTTGAATTCTAAAGTGGTAAGAAATCTTATTTTCATTTTATATCTATTTTATTTTATTTTATTTTATTTTATTTTATTTTATTTTATTTTATTTTATTTTATTTTATTTTATTTTATTTTAAGGTTTTTGCCATGGGGCATGTGTGCTTGCTGGGGAGAGAGAGAGAGACAAACAGACAGACACTGACAGTGAGAGGGAAAGTGAGAACTCACACCCCAGGGGGTATGGCCATGCTGCAATCCCTTCTCCATTCTCCTCCTGGGGTTTTGGGCCCAGCATGATTTTCAAGTCGCCAGGTCTGGGACTCAATCCATGGTTGACCATGTGGGAGTCCAGTCCCTTAAAGACTATGTACCTGCTTGCCCTTCATTTGACATCTTGGTGAAATAAGAAAAGTGATTTGATTATGGTAACAACATAGTTATAAATAAGAAATGCTCTATTTAACAAAATTCTTGCTGTTTAGACATTTTCCAAAATGTTTATTGTAATTAAAATTTTTAAAAATTTCTTAAATCTGTTATTGATTTATTTACGTTGCCAGAGGGTGCATGCGGTCTCTGGACAGAGACAGGAAGTAAGAAAATGGTCGTGCCAAAGTGCCCTTTTCTCCATTTCTTCTCCCTTTGGAGACTGCGGGCACAGATGCTCATGAACTGAGTGTTTTCCCATGTCATGGGGTCCAGAGTTCAAACCGCGCAGTCAGCCACGTGGGATCCAGCGGCTTGAACCATTACACCATGGGCTGGCCCCAAATTTCTTAAAACTTTAAAACAAAGATTGACCTTTTTTTTTTCTCTGAAGATATTTTGCATTTTGAAACTCTTCTTGGGTAATGGTTAAGCCATGCTTTGATTTACATTTAAGGTATTGGAGAAGTGCTTCAATTATTTTGTTCTTTAAACTGTTTCAGTATATTTTGGGATTTTATTTATAACATTCTAGATTTTAGGAATACACAATAGGGAAGCTTCTAAACTGTTGATAGATCATCTGCCAATTAAAGGTTTAATATCTAACAGCATTTTATATCTGTAGATACTTTTGCAGTCAAATTCAATTGCTATGAACATAACAAAAGAATTTAGAAGTAAGGCCAGCAAGGCTTTATGTAACTGAAGTAGATGTCAAAGAGCTATGCAGTAAAACTCAGACAATTTACTCTTAAGTTTTTGACTATATGCCTTATTTTATTTTAGACATGATTAAAAGTATGTTGAGGGCCTGCAGGTGGTGTGGTTAAGATGCTGGACTCCCACAAGGCCAACTTTTGGGTTTGAGTCCCAGACCTAATGGCTTAAAAAAAAACCATGCCAGGAACATATATGTACATGCCCAAAATCTCAGGAGGAAAATGGACTGTGGCACGGGCATCCCCCACTGCCCCGGAGGGAGTGACTTCTTGCTTTTCCTCTCTCTCGCCCTGTCTCTCCTTAGCAAGCACACATGCTCCAGAGAAAACTTCAAAAAAAAAAAAAAAAAAAAGCATTTTGACTTCTGTTCCCCAGAGTATAGAAGTAAGACGCAATCATTAAGACAGCAATGAGAGGGACCAGCAGTTGGCGTAATGGCTATGTCACTGGACTCCCATGTAGTCAACTGTGGATCGAGTCCCGGACCCAGTGGCTTAAACTCACACTGGGCATTTGTGCATGCATGCCCGAGATCCTGAGAGGAGAATGGAGGAGAAGGGAGTGCCGCGTGGTCATCTCCCCCCGGGGGTGATCTCTCACTTTCTGTCTCTCTGTCTCTCTCTTTCTTTCTGGTGAGTGCACATGCCCTATAGCAAAAATCTCTCAAAAAAAAAAACCCCAAAAACTAATAGAGGTAATGATTACACTGTATCATTTAAAATGCTTACATTATGCCTAGTGCAACTTAAAACAATTTCCTGAAAATGGATACAATTGACTCCATCTTTTATTTTTTTGGAGAAGTTTTTGCTATAGTCTTGCCAGATAGACAGAGAGACAACTGGTCCCTGTATCTATCTTTTCTATCTTTTTTGAGAGGTTTTTCACTATAGGACGCGTGCGCTCACCAGACAGACAGAGAGAGACATAGAGACAGAAAGTGAGAGATCACCCCCCAGGGGGGATGACCACACCGCAATCCCTTCTCCTCCATTCTCCTCTCGGGATCTTGGGCAAGTTGACTACATGGGAGTCCAGTGACATAGCCATTACGCTAACTGCTGGTTCCCGCTGTCTCTATCTTTGAAGAAATATGTGGAAAGTAACTGTCCCAACAATTTGTTAGGAAGGAAATACTAATGTAGGTATAGGCTTTTCTGATGTGCCTACACATGTGCTATAGTTTATGATTCATAATTCTTTCAAATAGACACATTTACAATCTTCCCTTAAATCTTCCTGTGAACATAAAGGTATTTATAAGTGTAAACTGTAATTCACACGCTACATTCCTACATATCTCGTTAACTACTTAAAGTATTAGGAAAAAACAAAAACAAATCCCTTTGCAAATGAAGTAAGCAAAAGAGAGAAAGGTTACATATAAGTTATAAAATTCTATTTGATTATAGTTCTAAGTACTTTTTTAAGGCAACAAAGTTTTAAACGTGTTTGATCTACCTCTGTACTTACCCGGGTAAGTTAATTTCACTCCTTTTTTGACCATGGCGATCAACGATTTTCACAGTGTGATCAGCTCTAAAAGCAATTAGAATATAAAGATATGATTGAATCATTCCTCCTTGTCTCTGTATATAAACAATTAAACCGTTATCCGAATAATTTCGGTGTTCTCTCATGATAGTTTTATAATCTGTGTCTGAAAAGTTATTACAATCATTTGGAGTCTGGATCGTTTGCTTAAAACAGTCATTAGTTTCTTACCCTGTTACCGCAAGGTAGTTTCCTGATGATTTTTGCCAGGTGAACTGTATTGGCGAGCCAAGCCAATTCTTTTCTAGCAGTGAAAAAATACACTAAAAAAATAAACACAGTTTTAATATTAGGTTAAATTATCGATTAAAAAAAATGATGCAGGGGTAGGATGCAGGTGGTGGAATGGTTAAGGCAGTGGACTCCCACATGGTCAACCGTGGGTTGAATCTAGGGCAGGATGGCTTGAAACTCATGCCCTAAATCCCAAAAGGAGAATGGAGAAGGGATTGCTACTTGATTATCCCCTCTGGGATAGTCTTCTTGCTCTCTGTCTCTTTGTCTCTGGTGAGTGCAAACACCAAACAAAAATCTCTCTCTGAAAAAGAAAAAAAAAAAAAAAGGTTTGCTATCTAGCCATAAGGAGTTTAGTGCTACTATAGGAGAATGACAGTCTGTGGCAACAGAAAGTCTTCCAATGTTCTAATTTATTTATTTTACATTGACTTACAGCATACAAATTAATTTTCCCATCCAGGATATACTGTATATTGGCTCAATCAAGGATAAAGTGTGGCACATATATACTAAGGAATCCTACTCAGCCATAAAAACAATGAGATCCTGAGGGATCAGCAGGTGGCATGATGGTTAAGGCGCTGAATACTCCCACATGACTGATGACAGTTCAACTCTTGGAGTTGGTGGCTTGGTTTCCCCCTTTCTCTCTCTCTCCCTTTCTCTGCCTTGCTGTGTGTGTGTGTGTGTGTGTGTGTGTGTGTGTGCGTGCGTGTCTGGTCAAATTAAAATGAATGAATAAAATAAAATAAAATAAATAATTATTAAAATAAGATGATGTGTATTAGCATAACTCTTAAAACAACAACAACAAAACAAACAACACAATGAGATCCTAGCATTTGGCAGAAAGCTAACAAATACAAAGTTCAGGGCTAAGTGAACTGATGCTCAAATTTTAAACCAATCAATAGGCATTTTGTATGCTGAACAAAAGCTAAAATCCACTTCTGAGAGCAGGGGTGTGCATTCAGGTTTTGTAAAGCCTGAAGACACTCACGAAGAAAAACGATATTTAAAAGCATCTTATGTTTGCAATGGTGTAATCATATTGCCCTGGAACTCTCTCGCAAGTGAGAACACCTTACACTTGAATTCATCACCTTCACAACAGCCCAAAGGGCAACCTTCTGGCTGTGCCCTTCTAGAGCTCTGCTCCAAATACGGGGCAGAGAAAAAAAGGACAAACTGCTCAGCCAGAAAACCAAAATTTAAACTTTGCTTCTCGTTCATCAGCTGTGTGCTTAATTTGCTTAAACTGCCTCAAACCCCAAAATTCTCATCTGCAAATGGAAAAGAACAATATCTCTTGATCCTAATATTTCACACATTGCGAACAGCTTTAGAAATGCACGTTATAACAATGGGTGTGTCAATTTCAAGGTCCACACAAATAGCCACGAAAAATTAGGACGTCTACAATTTTTCTAAAATCGAGGTGCCCATCTCTTTGCCAGAGCAGGCCAGGGAGGTATTGCTGGGGGAAATAGGAAGAGGGGAGGAGGTGGAGCCGGTGATCGGGCGTGATCTGGCGGTGGGGTTCGCGGGAATCCCACCCTAAGAGAGGATGCGGCGCAGGAGCGGGAAGCCTGCGGGTGCGGATGCAGATCCCCCCGCTCCCAGCGATGTGTAAACTGCACCAGACACTGGCATGCAAGTCTGGATGACTTCGGCGGAACCTCATCCCTGGGGGAAGGCGCTAAGCAGTTGCTCGGCTTGCCAGGGGTTTAGCTGCAAGAAATGAGGCAGCTGGTGATGCCGGATCGACTCATCTTCACCCGGACCCTTCCAATGCATTCACAAGACGGGTCCTTTCTGTGGTGCGGGGTTCGGGATGCTCCTTTCCAGCCCTGGCGGGCCTCCCTCTTCCCGCACAGCCGCTGCTCGGTCCGCTGTCCCAGAAACGCGAGGCCTCTCCCTCCTCTTCTCCGCTCTTTTCCCCTCCTTCCTTCAACCTCGCCCGGTCCTCCCCGTCCCGGTCGCCCTGCTCTCTTCCTCACGCACTCGGGAGATGCGATCGAGGCGCAGAACCTCCTCAGAACCACGCAGAGCAAGTTCAGGGAAGGGCCAGTGGTCGCTACCGCTCGCTCCCCGGGGATTTGTAAGTTATTTACCTTCATCTCCAGACTCCAGCGGCAGCGCGCTATAGCAAGTGCGCAGGCGCACTGGGTATCCTTCAAGAAGGCTACTGCGTTCCCGTCACCCGGGAGACCGCGTAGCAACCACCAATCAGCGAGCTCCAGATGAAGGGGCGGTGCTTGCTGGGCTGAGCCAAGCGCCGCCTCTGACGGAGCGAGCGGGAGGCGTGGCCTGGGGTTACGTAACGCAGGCGGAGCTACGCCCAGGGGAAGTTGGGTATTTTCAGAGCCCGCCTCGGGCTCCTGGCTGGATTGTGATTGGATGAGACTTGTCGGGAGAGGCGGGCTCTGTGAGCTCGGAAACAGGCCTGCGCCAATTTTGGTCCGCGCTTACTAATAGGCAGACTGTGGCCGGAGGGGGCGCCGGAAATACAAGAAAAAAAGGGCACGGGGGGTTGGGTAATGGGTGGCAAGGCCTGGTTCTTGGGCCGCGCAGAGGGTTTGTGTGAGCCTTGCTTCTTTTCTCTTTATAGGCTATAAAGAGAAACAATTAAACAAATTGTTTAATTTGTTTAAACAAATTTAAACTTTATTTAAATTTGATCAGGTTCCTGGGTGGAAGAGATGAGGCATGAGAATGTCTTTCCAAAGTAGTTTAGTTTAGTTTGTTTTGTCCACTTTGAAGGAAATTGGCCAGGTGGAAAAGACAGGACAAAAGTGAGCTCATGCATCCATGGCTGTCTTGCCTGATCCTGTTTCTCAAAGGTAGCCCCTATCCCAAATTTGATCCTTACCATTACTGTGACTATTTTTACACTTTTGAAACATACATATGCATTTCTATACATAATACATAATTCTTTAGCATGTTTCTTTTTTTTTTTAAAGAATTATTTTATTTAACTTTATTTAAATTTGACCAGAGAGGGACAGAGTGTGTTTGAGAGAGAAAGAAAGTGAGAAAGCAAGCCGCCAGTTCCTGGACTGTCAGCCATGTGAAGGTCCAGCACTCTTAACCACTATGCCACCTGCTGGCCCCTACATGTTTCTATATTTTATATAAATAAATGGCTTTGTATTACATTCTGTATGTATTTTTTATGAGAGGGAATGTGCAGGGGGAGGAGGGGTGAGAGAGCACCCCATGCACACCTGGAACTCTCCCATGTGGTCAGTCTCAGAGCATTGCACCACCTCTGCACCACTGACTTTTCCCATTGAATCTCCCTTTTTTTTTTTTTCTATATCCAGAGATTCAGATCACCACACCTGGTGTAACTCTATCCTGTGACTGCACTGTCAAGGCCAGCATGTCTGTGCATAGCCCTGCCTTAAGTCTGGAGAACTCCGTACCTTCAATCTGTCACTGTCAAAAGCTTTTGAAGACATTGAAATAAGTAAAGATTTCTTAAATAAGACTCGTAAAACACAGCTAATGTTCCCTAAAATTAACAAGTGGGATTACATCAAGCTCAAGAGACAGAGAAACAGAAAGCGAGAAATCACCCCTGGGGAAATGTCCACGCTGCAATTCCTTCTCCTCCAATCTCTTCTTGGGATCTTGGGCATGCATGCACACATGCCCAGCAATGAGGTTTAAGCCACCAGGTCCGAGGCTTGAACCTCAGTCAACTACGTGGGAGTCCAGCAATGTAATCATTATGCTATCTGCTGGCCCCATTGTGCTGTAAGTCAATACAATATGGACTTCTGTGTATATGTTATACTGATTCATCTCTCTGCTTTTATCCTTTGGAGTCTGGGAGACTCCCCAAAAAGGTAAATGATATCAAGAGTAGAACATTGTAACTGCAGACTAGTTATGTTTAAAATGCCTACGTGCAAGTCTTGCTTCTTTGGGATATCAAAATGTAGTTTGTGATGTATTAAGGATACTGTGCCCCACCAGCTGTGAATTCCGTAAGGTTCCCTTAGGGTCTTTTAGTTACTTTAGCTCTCAGAATATAGTGACAATCAATCACACACGTATGCACACACACACACACACACACTTGTTAAAATGAACTGAATCATTCATTTTCTTATATATTTTTAGACCATATTTTAATTCGGCTGTGCCTCATACTACTGATAATCATATATATCAGTGTTCAATTTATTACTTCTCATCTCCACATCTAATCATCATTACCTGCTCTGAGAAAATGATAGGGGCCCTTTTCTCCTTTGCCAGCCATCACAGTGTTAAATTTTGTCAACAGAGGGTGCTGAGGACATTGCAGGAGGAAGAGAAAAGCTCCCTGCCCACTACTATGTATTTGGGTCATTTCTCAGGTTGTGTTTGCAGTGAGAAATTCTGAGTGCAAAGAACAGGTGGACTTCCCAGCTCAGTGGATTCCCCACCTGGGATCCTCTGCAATGTTCCTGTGGGGCCTGAGCAACAAAGGGAAATGACCCAAACACGATGTTTAGCTGCTTTTTGTGCCTTGAGTAATATCATCCTCTAGCTTTGATCCACAGGTATCTTCTGCCAGCATTCATAAACAATAACAGGCTAACTTACTAGCTCAAGCAGTGGACAATCACATCTCAGTCTCCCAAAGCCAGCTAATCTCTTACAAATTCAACTCTCTGTTATATGACATAATTCTTTATATCAAACCTTCCCTGTTCAGATTACCATGTGATTTCTGTCTCCTGATTGGACCCTGACTAATGCATCATAGCTGTAGAATAATTTTTCTTACATGGCTATTCATTTACTTTAGTTAAAAAAAAAAATGCCAGAGGGTGTGTGTACTTCAGAGACAGAGAGAAAGAAGGAAATCACTGCTTCCCCATGGGGATGATTATGCTGCAATTTCTTCTCCTCTGGTTTTCCATCCTTCCAGGATTTGGGGTATACATGTGCATGGGTTCAACATGTTTCTCAAGCTTCAAGGTCTGGACTTGAACCATGAAGTTAATTGTGTGGAATCCAGCTACCTTAACCACCACACCACTGGCTCCTTTGCTCAGGATTTTGAAGCGTTTGCCTTTAAGTTATATTAAACTTCTAATAATGGATTTATGACTTCCTACTAATGGCTTGTCTTCTTTCCATTCATTACTACTCTACTCAGCATTTCTAGTGCTTGCTGTAGTGACAGCAATAATCCTTCTTTGCACCTAAGCCGTTAAATATGCCGTCATTTCTAAAATGTCCTTTGTCATCTCATCATAGGAAGGCCCATGTGTGTGCATGGCACACGCAGGCACTAATGCACATAATGGGTAGAATTATAATATGCAGCCTGTTTCTACCCACTAAAAGTAAAACTTCAAATGTTAACAAAATTGTGAGGAGGATACATATCATATTATGTAACCTTGGCATAAAGTATGTATCCTATGCATTCAAGATAGCTCACACTCACTTCCATGTTGCAATACTGGATTTTTTTTTTTTAAGGTTTTACTATAGGGCACATTTTTTTTTACCAGAGAGAGGAAGAGAGAAGAAAAGTGAGAAATCACCCTCTCCAGGAGGGGATGGCCACAAGCCCTTCTCTTCCATTCTCCTCCTTGGATTCTGGCAGGGACATATGTCAGAATTCTTGAGCCACTAGGTCCGGGTCTCAAAACTATAGTCTGCAATGTGTGAGTCCAGTTAATCATCATGCCACCTGCTGGCCTTGTGGATTTATTATTATTTATTATTTTTTTAAGACTAAGTTCATTACAGAGCTGGTTGGTTTTGAAATTTGGCTGTCATTCACTAGATAATTTCTACACCATTAAGTAGGAATAATTATGTCTATTGCACAGAGCTATCCTGAAGATTAAATGAATTAACATGCATATGAAGTATTTAGCACATGATCTGCCACATAATCATGTTGACTCAACCTATGTATGTTCAGTCAACAGAGGATCAAGTCTATGGCAACTTGATAAAACATGAACTTTCAACTAATTATGCTAATGCCTCAGCAGCTAGGCCCAGAGATCTCCTTAGATACCCCCTGACAAGGCCTGACATACTGAGTTCAAGGCCTCATTTCAGTTTTCAGTCTCAGTCTGTCTTTCCATCATGATTTTGCTATTGGAAGCTTCATCTTGGTTTATCATTTTCTTTGCTATGAAATTCTTTCAATCCTCCAAGCACAGGTTGGAAAATTTTTTGGTAAATGTTAAGAAACACCTGCCGTCTCATTGCCACTATTCAGCTTTGACGTTGCAGTGCAAACGCAGCCCGGACAACGCGTGCACAGACGGGCAGGTCCGTGTTCCAATAAAACTTTATTTGCACCAGGCAACAACATGGCGGCGTGGGCGGAGTGACAGCGGCCCCTCGGTGTGCAACCAACCCACGGCATCCGTATTGCCGCCCAAACCCATCTCCACTTTTCCAGCCCGCTACGCCGGGGAACAAGTGGCCCAGAGGGTGACCGAGAACCCCCCACAAACTGCGGCCTGGCGGAAGGAACCCCTTGCGCAGCGATCAGGCCTCGGAGGCCGAGGCAGCGCCCTGTGACCCGGAATAGCCCCCGACTTCCGGCTTTCAACTTCCGTTTCCTGCCGCCTTCATCTGCAGCCCTGAATGGTGGACGGGTCTCTGAGGCCTCACTCCATCCCCTCAGCCCCGGCCTCCGTCTTTGCCTCTCGACATGGCCAGCAGCTGCAAGGCTGGATTTATTGTCGGAGGGAAATATAAGCTGGTACGGAAGATCGGGTCTGGCTCCTTCGGGGACATTTATCTGGCGATTAACATCACCAACGGCGAGGAGGTGGCCGTGAAGCTGGAATCTCAGAAGGCCAGGCATCCCCAGCTGCTGTACGAGAGCAAACTCTATAAGATTCTTCAAGGTGGGGTTGGCATCCCCCACATACGCTGGTACGGTCAGGAGAAAGACTGCAGCGTGCTGGTCATGGATCTTCTGGGACCCAGCCTCGAAGACCTCTTCAATTTCTGTTTAAGAAGGTTCTCGATGAAAACCGTGCTAATGTTAGCTGACCAGATGATCAGTAGAATTGAATACGTGCATTCAAAGAATTTCATACACCGAGACCTTAAACCAGATAACTTCCTCATGGGGATTGGACGGCATTGTAATAAATTATTCCTTATTGATTTTGGTTTGGCCAAAA